ATGCCTCCCCTAAACGCGAAACCCTCTTTCCTTCCTTTCACAACAGCTGCCGTCCCGAAGCCTCTTAGCTCTCACGTGGCAGCGACCCTTCCAGTCCTGAAGAAATACCTCCTTCTATATCCTTAAGTTCGGCATCCCCCCCGCCCCGCCCCCGCCCCCACCTTCTTCCTCTAGTACAACCACCGTGTTCCTCCCTCCGTGGTGTCCCCCGCTCCAGGCTGTGGTGGGGCGGTAGGAACAAGGGTGGGGGGAGGGAGGGAGGGTGGAGGAGGAGGAGGAGGAGAGCGAATGGAAGGATGTTGCTCCAGAATTTAGGTTGAAGGACCGGCCTGACCTTGAGAGTCCTGGGCCGAGTCCTTCTGCCTGCCTGGGTCCTGCCGCAGCTCTCTCGTTCCCTCCCAGGCCCCTCCCCCTACTTCACCTCTCGCTGTTACAAACACACACCCACGTACGCACACACACACACATGTACATAGCACACATGTACATACAATACAATAATGGATGAACGCAAGCAAAAATACAGTCACTCACTCTCTCTCTCTCTCTCTCTCTCTCTCTCTCTCTCTCTCTCTCTCTCTCTCTCTCTCTCTCTCTCTCTCACACACACACACACACACACACACAACACACACACACACACACACACACACACACACACACACACACACACACACACACACACACGTACGTACGTAGGTACGAACATATGCGGAAAGGAAGTGCAAAGGAAATGCAGACTGTCATTCATTGCATTCTTACAAAAAAGAACAGTGTCGTAATTATATAACAATTTACCTTCACGCAAAAATGAAACCACTTTTTTTTTCTTCTTCTCGTAAACAAAATATGCTCACAGGTCGTACAGTATAATCGCACTGGTAAGTATTAACAGCTGCCAAAGAACGAGCACTCAAAGATGGTGTTGTCAGGCGGGTGGGCATCCTGCATTCCACAGTGCTACAGGCTTCATATCCTGCCTCTGAGATCCGATTTCAATCCCGCCTCAACTTGCTCACCATATCTCTGTTTTTTTTCTTTTTCCTTTTTTTCTTTCGCGTGTATTCTTCTCCTTGATATCGCTGTCTTCTCGTCTTCTTCTTTATATTTTTAGCGGGTGGATCTTTTTACGCGGTGACGGCTTCAGGTATTTAAATTTTTTTTAGTTTACTTTACTTTCGTTTGATTTCGTTTGTTAGCCAAACTGCCCGTCATCGTTCATCCCCTTCGAGACTTTCTCCTCCGCCCCCCCTCCTCCCCCACGGCACCCCCGCCCTTCCCACCCCGATGTCCTTTGTATCCTTGACCTTGACGCTCCGAGCTACAGAAATCTGAACACCGGTTTACCGTATAAAGATTTTACCCTAAAGAATGTTAGTTTTGATTGTGCTCAGACAACCCGTCCTTAAGTGAATGTCTCGCTGGACCCAGTTACCTCGACACGTATACATTGCAAATGGCTCAGAACGAATAAAAAGATAAACAATAATAATGGCGAGGCTTTCAGCCACTTAAGACTGGAAAGGTTCCGATTGTGTCGGGAAAGTTACATCACGAAGAACGAGTTGCAAGTCACAGGAGTCAGGAACTCACGGCAGCGGCCACAAGGGCACCCCCATGACGCAACGACGCCCCACAACAGGCTCTCTCGTTACTTGTTCTTTCAGCACCTCTTACTTTCCCTTCTCCGCACGGCCGCGCCGGAATTGGATCGCGTTACTGTCTTGGGCTGGGACGGAGGCCATTCATGTCAGGCGGAGGGCGAGGGAGGGCTGCGGCCGGATCGGATTTGGTGAAAGGGTAAAAGGACACGGAAGGATTTTGTACGTAGTCCCATGAAATATGGTCTCTCGCAAGCACTGCACTGATATATTAATAAGAGAAACAGACGCAGTGATGCTGATGCAGGCCGGGGTACCGAAGGCACCCACGCTCAGGACCCCCTAGCAACAAGTGAAGGACAGCACTCATTGGATTCATCATGTCAATGACTCTAATGGCTACATAACTATTAACGTTAGACTGGACTCAAGGTAACTCGAAAAGGTCTCTGCGAGGGCGAGAAGCTTAATGACAGTCTCTTATGGGCTAAAACGGCATGATCGACTGTTTAATGAAACGGCCATTACGTGAATTCACGCTCAGGCATCAAGGAAGTGCGTCGGGCTTCTGCCCTAAGAGCCGCAGATGCTGCTGGCGAGGACCAGGCCATGGAGGAACTCCGTGGCTGGCACAAGTATCCTTAGGCTTGTCTATGACTATTTATTTATACTTCCCCTGGGTGAGTCACCTCCCCCGCGAGAGCAACACCCACTGGGTGCATCAATGCAGCTGGGAACAGAAACATCCGCACCCTAAACAAGCTTAAGTGCATTTAAGCGTGTCAGCGGGCCCGTGATTGAAGCTGGGCAGCGCGGCCTCAGGTGGCCACCATTGTCATCGTCGGAAGGTTGACCGCTGCAATTAGATGCGAATTGAAACACTGGTGAAACGTCCCCCGGGGAGAAGGGGGGAGAGCCACTCCTCGGCGACGGGGGTGAGAGGCGACGTGTCCTCGTGGTTGTGGCGCGTGGTTGAAGGGGCGGCTGTGCGGCAGGGGAGGGTGTGCGGCAGGGCAGAGCTGTTCCTACCAGGCTGGCTGGCTGGCAAGAGGACGGGCCTTGACGTAGGGCGTTGACCGCGCCCCTGCTGCCTGTGCTGGCGACCTTCATGTGGACCAACAGTCTCAGCTCTGTGGTGGGGCTGTTGGCTGGCTGCAAGGGATGATCTTTGGCTGCTGCCCTGGTTTTGGGAGGCCATTTTTTGTACCGTGTTTTGTCCTTTACGTCATGTCAAGGTTAAATACCGGCGGTTTTTGGTCGGTTATAAACGATGCGACATTTATGACAGTTTCATTTAAGGATACACGTCACTAAAAAATATTTTGATTAATCACACATTGCGAAAATGATCTGTAGTTCATTAACTTTTATCTTTGTGAATTATACAGACAGCGGGCTCGATGGTGAGCGCTGCATCGCGCAATATGCGAGGCGTAGTTATTCCCTGGTTTAGCCTTGAACCCGCCACTGACTTTGATGTCCGGGCCAACGCCACCGCCGAAAAGTACTCTTGTCAACTCGCATCCCTCCTCGTCCTCCCGGGGAATGAAAGCACAAATAGATGACGTTCTTTTCTAGATTGGAGGACGATTTAAGGAAGAGTATTCGTATATTCATATTTTTAAAACGCGAAAGTTAAATGACAGGGTGGTTTATATTCACATAAACAAAGAAATGGCATCGTGATTACTGAAAGGTATATTGGGTAAGCCCTGCAGAACGAGGGAGGCGGCGCGGAGCAAAATACGGGTGAAGGTTAGGCGCGAGTTGCCACTCACTTCCATGCGGCCCGGGGTCCAGATCCTGCCTTATTATCTTTTAAGATCAAGTCCTAATTTATACGAAGGAACTCGTATCGATGAACAGATATATTTAGAACACGTTGAGGTATAATTTCGGTAATAATGGGATTCGGATGCTGCTACTGACGGCTATAAATACGAGGTTATACCTTGACATTGAAAAGACAACATTCTGCCTCACATTTAGGCTCGAGTCCGCCCCATACACGAACCCTACCGACGGCTTCCTTCTTCCTCATCCTAGCAAGGTCTTTGCAGGGTAACATGCACTTCCTGGTTAAATCATATCCTGCTAAGAACAAAAAGGATAAAATGGCAGTAGTAGAAGTATATAAAGGCCACTGTTCAGTTGTCCTCTCGCACACGCCGTACGCAAGTCGGAGAATTTAAAGTTTGTTTTCTTCACGGAGTTGCGATCGTGAAAGGTAATGCAGTTGTCGGTTACTCTCCTATGTCCACGAGGTTGACCACGTGTAAAAGTGGCGGGCAGGCAGACTCCCTCCCAGAGCCCCACGATGGTAACCACGGAGATTTAAAAAGTGAAAGCAGAGGCGCTGGTGGGCCTCGGGACAGGCTGACCCTCGGTACAAAGTGGGTGTTGAGTCCGGGACGTAAGGATAAAATTATTATTATAGGGAATGAGAAGTACACTTTAAGCTTTTCTCTTCTTATGGAGGCATTTCCTTGTGTTTCACATTTAGCAAGTATTTGAAAACAAAAGGAATACTATGGTTATTTTTTTATTGATCCAACCAGTAGCCATGGATCGATTTTAAACTACAATTGGCTTTGCGGGGAGAAAGGAAGGGTGGTGAGGGGATACCAGTTAATGTGTGGCAATATTGATCTGGTTCTGCCAACAATTTAAAACGAGGAGACGACTGGTCGATATTTTGCGGGCCAGGAGGGCAGTAAGGGAGGGAAACAGGTTTATATTCAAAACACACATGAGACGAGAAACAAAAGAGTCCACGACTAAATATCGAATTCGCAGCGTCCTCGACTTTATTGATTTTTTCTTTTTCTTTTGCGAGAATAAGTATGTGAATGTTGTTTTGCCGAGGAAGAAACTGCATTTTTTCTTGTGCATTTTCAGTCCATTTTCCCCCATACGAACTTCGCAAGTGAGTATGGTGGAAGGCAAAAGCCGGAAATTGTAAAATGTGATATGGGAGTGAGAAGCAGGTGGACGTGTGGGGAGTCGGGATTCGTTTGGGCCTAAGGAGAGGGTCATTGTCCCTCAACGTGACGTCACGGAAGTTGTGACGTCACTGGCCTCGACGAAAGCTGTCAGAGGTGAGTTTGCAAGGATGGAGCTTTGCCGTTCCTTAGACACACTATTCCACGTGGGAGCTGATGGTGAGGGTGTGCATGTGGCGAGCTCTTATGTTTATGTGTTCGTACCTCCGTGGTCCTCAGGCTCCGACGTGGCTGCTAGAGCTCCCTGCCCTCCCTCCCCCCACCGCCTCAGTGAGTGACTGGCCCCGCTCCTCCCTCCCCCCCTCGCCCGTACGCCGGCCTCCCCCCTCCCCCCGCCACCCACCACAGCTCGTAGTTCCAGCTCCCCGGCCCCGCCACCGCCAACACGCTGCCAGTATAACATCGCCCACTTTCCCGCTCGGTCGTGGCGGCTTGACAGTGAAATCGAGTTTGGTCTCGCGCACGTGTTGGCGAACTTTAACGTGCCTGTTTGTGGGGCGCTGTGGGAGCGGACTTTACTTTGGATGTATTAGTGGTGTTTGCCGCATTTTACCACAGTGATAACATTGTTGAGGAAACATAGTGCCTACAGCAGCACTTGCCTTTTTCTGGTAACATAGTGACTTATCAGTGTCGAAGCATTGATATCCGAGAAGGATAATGAAGATCGGTGAGAGCATACATAGTTGTGTCGGATTTACCATGTGTCAGTGAGAGTTAGTGGTTGTTCCGAGTGTGTCCTGGGATACATTGAAGACCCTCTGGGAGTCTCTTGCGCATACTTGTAACAATGTATTGCGATCAGGATATGTATGAGATTCCTGCGGACTCTCAAGTCTTGGTGGACAAGACTGTGATCGGTGAGTATTCTAGTCTCAATGGTGGACGAGCTCTTTATTCTTGACTTTCATGAACTCGGGAAATCTTGTATTTAAATGTAAGCGATTGCAAGAAGAGGGATTAGAGGGAAGAGAAGTGATGTGTATGATCTTGGATACTTCGCTTTGAGGTTTACGCTGTTAAACGATGCTGTGTGGATAAATTGTTTCCTTTTACGTTCAGATCCGGTGAAAACGCATCACTTTTCGCCACGAGTTAGGACAGTGTCTTTCATACTTGTTGATCCTCGGGGAAGAATTGTCTTCCAAATGTTCCCTCTCGATGGCCCGGCCGCCCCGATGAATGAAGGAGAAAGTTTAGCGAGACTTAGCAGCCTCCCGGCTTTTAAACTTCACTTTTGTTTGTGTGCTTTTTGAATTTTACCTACGTGATTATAAAAAAGATCTTGATATAAACAAACTTTCTTCGCCGTGTTGCATATGTGATAGAATTAGTAAACATATAATTATTTCGTTGCACTTGATTGTTTACTTGTTCTTAAGAGGCTAAAGCAACAGAGCTTGTAACACCTGTAGCCCTTTCTCATTGTGGCTTCCCCTTGCTACCCCTTCTCTCGCCCGCTGTCCCCGCCGTGCGCCTAGCACCGCCACCCCTTGCTCTCGAGAATTACAACGATAATTAATGTGCTATTTCTCCTCCACAGAGTTTGACGGGACGACTGTGTTGTGCCGGGTGTGTGGAGACAAGGCCTCAGGTTTCCACTATGGCGTACACTCGTGCGAGGGCTGCAAGGTATGTGTCCTGCATTGTTGTTGTAATTTATTTTGTAGTTTGTGTCCTTTTGCTTCTGTTTCTGCAAGTCTGGGTGACTTCTTGGCACCTTCGTTTGACTTTCTTTTTGTTTCGGTTTGTAGATTTGTTTGTGAGTGGATTTCTTGATGTAAGTGAGGCATTCTTATGTTCAGGATTAAGTGCGGTTGTGTGTGTGTGTGTGTGTGTGTGTGTGTGTGTGTGTGTGTGTGTGTGTGTGTGTGTGTGTGTGTGTGTGTGTGTGGTGTGTGAGTGAGTGAGTGAGAGAGAAGAGAGAGAGAGAGAGAGAGAGAGAGAGAGAGAGAGAGAGAGAGAGAGAGAGAGAGAGAGAGAGAGCTTCCTCAACTCACCCCTTGCCCAACCAACCAGCAACACTCTCGAAAATAGACCAAGCAACTGCTGAGAACCTCCCCTCCCTCTCGCCCCTCCTCTCCCCTTGAACATAAACCCGGCTGAGGGGACAACGACCCAACCTGAGGCCGCCCACCTTCCCCTCTCTCTTCTCTCTCTCTCTCCCTTGCTCATTCCACCCTTTTTATCAGCTCTTTGTTTCTGATCGCACTTTTATTTATCTTTGTGCAACCGTTTTCTTTGGAGTAAGTTTTCTCTATGAAGAAATGTGGTTTGTTTTCCTTTTTTCTTGTCGCCTTTTTTTCTGAATGCATTGTTTGCATGCAGCTGACAGTAAGCATATATATTTTTTTTTTTTAAAGCAGTGTCTTGCATGGTCTTGCTTCATGCTCAGGCTTAAGCGTCGTGTCCGTCTTCCAGCCCGCACCTAATGGCCGCTTGAGGGTAAGTCGTTGCATTGATGAGCAGAGGCTTTGCAAGACGCTGTTTATTCGAGGGAATTTCTAGGTGCTTGCGGACTCCTGCAACTGATACGGAGCATTTCGACATGACCCAATATTCCTGCTGACCTTTCGATGCGTCCACCGGCCTGACGCACGCGAGGCCACGGCTGGTCAATGGCCTCTGCATGGGCACGCATGACGTATCGGATATTGACAAGGGTCTCTGTGCTAGTGGCAGGGAAAAATGGCACGCAGGCGATAAGACGATAATTGGGCTGCAACTTGCAACTCACAGAAAGAAGGCAAACAAGATAGCAAAGAAAAAGGTCATGCAATCAGCGCGTTCACAGACAGGCAGACAGAGAGCGACGACTGGTTTCTGCCGCGTCTTCGATAACCTCCAGAGCGTCTTCGCAGCCGCCGAGGGGGAGAGGCGGCGGGAGAGTGATCGTGAGCTAAATATTGAGCCCAGATGGTCGTCGGGTTAGTGACCTTGTCCATATCGCGGAGGAGACCTCGCCAACTTGGACGGCGGCGCGATGCAGGAGGAGGAGGAGGAGGAGGAGGAGGAGGAGGAGGAGGAGGAGGAGGAGGAGGAGGAGGAGGGGAGGAGGAGGAGGAGGAGGAGTGGAGAAGGGGGAGTGGAGGAGGGAGGGAAGCGAGGAGAGGGAAGCAAGGATCCCTTCCCCTCCTGCAGAGGATGAGCAGGAGGTGAAGGGAAGCTTGAAGACACTTGCCCTGATGGCATGCAAAGATATTTCGAAGGGAGGCGCTTGTCATGCATACCCTAATAAGTATAGTCTCTGCGTGTCATGGCCACTGCAGGTGCCGTGGCTGGGGACGCGAGTTTTGCATCCCCCTCCTATCCTCCGCCTCTGTCTCTCTTCCTCCTTGTGTGTGCAACACAGAGAAGGTCAAAAGGTCAGGAAAGACTGTGCGTATATATATAACTCTGCTGGGACGTAACACACAAGGCGCGTGATGTGAATGTTAATTTCCGAAATGTGACGTGAGGGCGAAGATCCTCGTAGCGCATGTCACGGCGGCTCACGTGAGGGATTTCTTACCGTGAGATCTACATGCGATTTCGTCTTAAGGTCGCGCACAAGCAGCTAAGGTTCGCCGCTGTGTATCGGACACGTACTCCTGCGTCGTCGCTTGGCCCTCCAGCGGAAGCTCTCACAAAGGCCCCACGACTCCACTCGCTGTCTCACACTTTATAGTCACTTCCACACGTCGCTCACTCCAGTCCTCATAGATATGTCACTCGGAGTCCTCCCTCGAAGCCCCCGTAACTTCAGCGATCGCGAGGCCTTTTGCCTTGGAAAGCGATAAAAAATAACGACTGACCTCACTACCCACGCATCACATGTTCACCCTCCCCCCCCTTCTCACCCTTAGTATACTGACCTTGTAGAAAATACTAATAGCACGTCTGGCTTGCCAAGAGTTGTGTTGGCAGGCGCAAGGAGGTGGTGATGGGGAGGGGGAGGCGAGAAGGAGAGAGAGAAAAAGAGGTGAAGGAAGATTTTTGCGAGCGATTCCGACGCCTCCGGTCATCGGCAGGTTTGTCCTGCAGTCCCGCGACACCTGCGGGCGGCGGTTTGCTTCCCCCGATGCGTATGCGATGCGAATGGCGTGATAGCATGGCCGGGGGAAGAGGCTAGTTTTTATTGCCTAATTCGTACTGCTCGGACAGGGAGCGCTGGTGTCATTGTCCTTGCGCCTTGTTGCCGCGCGTTGCTTTTGTTCCTGCTGAACACTCACGTTCTCACACCTGGCCGGGTTCACATTCACTCGCCGAAGGACAGTAGGCTCACCTTGTCCGAGCCGATGTCCCTGTGAACGCACGTCTAATTCCTTTCACATATTTACGACGAAGGCCGTCGACATCGACAACAGTCTGAAGGTTATTAGGACAATCCCCTCTCCAGCGTTACCTTGAACTCTGGGAAGTAATTTCATTTTGAGCCCTACGGACGGGCAGCATAGAGCTCACAGCGCCAAGGTCAGACTGCGGCGGACGGTTGATTACATCGCCCACGAATATTTAATCTTAGATGTCATCCTCGCACGTTCCATGATGTCAGTGACATCATTGTCGCCAAGCACTTCTGCTAAAGTTAACAGGATACTAAATCGTTGGTCGAAAAGTATGCGAAAATAAGCCCCTTTCTTTTATCAGTGTGTAGTTGCGCGTCGCTGGTGAGCCTTCGAATGGGGGAAACCGACAGGTGCAGATTGTAAAAATGACAAGCAAATATTGTCACATCCTGCCATACTTTTAATGATCAAATATGAATGTCAGTATGATGGGCCAGCTTGAACGTTCTCAGGATCATGATCTATGTCGTTTACCTAATCGGATTAGAATATTCACGCGACGCCTTAACGTAACCGCCGGCCCTATGCTTGGGTCGAGAGAGCGACGGCGTGGCGAGGCGAAACTCCACGGACTCTCCGCGCCAGGTTTCACATGTCGCCATTCGAGCCCAGGAGCCGATATCAGGGGTGACTATTGTAATAATATTTAAAATCGCTACATTATGTTTATTCATTAACTGGCCAATGACTTGTTTAATGATAGCAGATATTCTCATATGACGAAAACGATTTTGTCTATAGCTATGAGCGTTTATGTGAAAACAAAAATATAGAAGAAAGTATTAGGGTGGTGGTAGGGGGGGGGAGGACCCCGTGAAAGAGAGGAGGAATGAGAGAGAGTTCCCGACGCGCGACCACGGCGTGGGGGCGTCCTGGGACCTGACTCTTTACTTTCACTTTCCCGTCTTGAGACAACAAGAGTGACAGGGGCGACACAACAGGAATACCCGAAGATTTACCTCGAACACTTAAGAGTCGAATGATTGAAACTCGTCCGAGAGACAAAAGAGTAGAAGCTTTAAGCCTAATAAATGAATGCGCCGCAAGCAAAGGTCTGAGTATAAAAGGA